GAGCTATTCTGAGCTAGTCTAAGCTATTCTAAGTTAGTCTAAGCTAGTCAAAGCTAGTCAAAGCTAGTCAAAGCTAGTCAAAGCTAGTCTAAGCTAGTCTGAGCTTGTTTTAGCTAATCTGAAGTAGTGAAAGCTAGTCTGAGCTAGTTTAAGTTGGTCTGAACTAGTCTAAACTAGTTTGAGCTTATCTGAGCAATGTTTGAGCTTGTCTGAGCTAATCTGAGGCTGTCAAAGCTAGTCTAAGGTAGGTTAAGCTAGTCTAATTTAGTCTGAACTGATCTAAACTAGTTTTAGCTTATCTGAGCTGGTTTGGGCTAATCAGAGCTAGTCTGAGCTAATCATAGCTAGTCCAATCACCAAACCATTCCCACCAATCAAGACAAAATGCACCTCAAATCCTCCATCTACTCTCCAAATACCTACTCCAAAAAAAACTATAGATCCAACATAAATTTTATCCATTCTAATGAAAAGAAAAGAAACATGAATGAAACATGAGATCCAACGCTCGTTTAGCATTATAAGATATAAAGAGTAAAAACCAAAGAAACAAATTGTATGTATTGAAATGTTAATTCCTGAGATTTTTAAAATTCTCACAATAAAATACAAATTTTTCATCCATTTGAAATGGATAAATAAACAACTCACTGAATTTGATATCCATAAATCACACTGTAGACACGAACCATTGACTGCATTAGCATTCAAAATGTATATTTACTTAGAAGATTTTATTTTTCTTCTTTCATTCTCGTTTTGTTCTATTAGCTGGTTGATCATGCATGGAATAGAGATCGTCTCGTGGGGGTGAAGGTCACCTCGTTGATTTGTGAAACTAATTTGTGTTATCAATTTATTCAATAAATCATATTTGAAGGGGAGTTGTTTGGTTATGGTGGGGATCTGGGGTAATGGGGTAATGGGATCAATGACTTTAGTTGAAGTGTCATGTCCATAAGTTCTGGATGTGATCTCAAGGATAGTTTAAGTTGAGACCTCTTTTTTCACTTCAATGATCTAGTCAGTGCTAGTTTCTGCCTTTTTTCTATTCCAACATTGCTCAAAACTTCTGGTTTATCTTGATCTCGAACTTCAAGAAGTCAAAATGTATCAGCTTCAGAATAGGATTAAATTTAAGAATTCTAGGATTCGAACCGACTTGAATTTAAGTTACAACACACTAAATTCCAGCCCAGAGCCTCTCAAATTACTCTACCGAGCCAACTACCAACTTTTATTCTACAAATGATAAACATCATTAATAAAGAACCCCCACATTTGCCTCCAACTGATTGCGTCTGCATTCGAAATTATCAGCAACATGAAAGATATTTTAGCGACTGCCATGTGACATCGACTCTTATATTTAAAAATGCGCTGGCTATTTTAAGACGCTTTTAAAAAAAGAAATTCTTTTTTCATTTTATTATTTTTATATACAAGCAGTTTTGTTTTGAGCATTTTAAAGTATGCAGATGAGCGGTAAAGAAGAACAAAACAAAAAAATGTACAAACTGTCTCAAATAAATCATTTTAATTGTTCCATGTCAAATAAAGAAGAGCGAAGAAAACTAGGAAGAAGATGCAGAAATATTTATTTAATAGTTGAATAATTTAGCATTTTTAAATGCACGGTGACGATAGAAAGTTATTGTAGCGCCTTAATGACCGTGAAAATATGACAGGCAACATGATTTTCTACTAAGTCGAGCGGAAGACAACTTCATAAACTTAAAGACAATAAAAATTAATATTCAAAAGGGATAATAGGTTCGGCTATCGACAGACATGCGCTAATTGTTGATGATTGAAGGGAATTAAAAGATTAATATTCACGACACGATTCGAGGGACTTGATATAATCATCATTAAGACTTTAAATTGCTCACGTGATTATAAAGACCTTTTAGTGGCTGTCTTTTATCGTAAATGGAGAATTTCGTGTGTGTAAAAATTACGTGGGATGAGGAAATGACTGTGAAAGAGATGTAGAGACGGTATTTAAGGGACCATAAATCATAAGATTTTTAATTAATGATTTATAGTTGGAGTCGCGACATATTGAGCATAATGACAACCTTTGAGATGTTAATAAGCTTAAATGGAATTGTTATGGATTGGAATATGCTGAAATGGATGGATATTTTGCTTGTTTTAAGTTCATTAGTGTTGTTGAATTGACTGTTGGTCTGAGGTTTAAAGTTAATGAGCTAATGAGTCATGATTTGTGAGCTGAGGCATCTAGAAACTTCTGGATGTTTACTTGTGATAGAGTTTAGCATGATTACTGCTTAACAAGGCTCAATACACGTCATATTTGGCTAAAACTTTCATTTTCACAAACATTTCACAGTTTAATGCTTAAAGTCATGCTAAATATTTGCATAGAAAGGGAATAACAGCTGTGACATCAAAACTTAGCCATGCGAATCCAAATACCCAGACAGAAACCCAACCAAGAAGAAATAATCAAATGTCTACACCACAATCCTTTGAATTGACACAAATAAATTAGTAATTTACACTCTCACTGACTAATTTTACATGAAAAACGATATGCATTGCTTAACATGGCAACTTAATTCGCAAAAAGGCATCAAACAAAGATCTACAGATCAGTCAATCAACCAAATAAATATCACATTTGATCAAGACGGGAAATAAATCAAGTCTAAAAGGCAATAAATTTCATTGAATTCTCTCTCTTAACATTGACCCCACACTCATGATGAAATCTTTGTTTTTTAAGTCGTTGTCGCGCATCTTTTAAAATCTGAAGGGAAAACAACATGATGAGGAAATTTTATAATTGGAAATTCATTTGGATTTCGTTTTTTTGCCTTTGTGTTGTTCTCCCCTTGTAAATATTTCCCATTTTTATGCTTTCCCCTTAAAAAAATTTTTTGAATTTTTTCATCAATTATTTTCCTCATCATATTGTTGTCCCCTCACAAAAAAATCCCACAAATTAATGCTCAAAGAAAAACTGTTTACATGAAAATGTCACCAAAGTGTCAAATCAGTAACGCTGAGAAATTGTGACTGGTTCATTAACCAATGTGAAGGAACAAAACAGATTATAAAACTATAAATATAAAAACTCATATTTGATGAGGTCTTTAGCTGTAATAATCGTGCAATAAAAAATAAATGCGCGCAAAAAATTATCGACTGTGTTGTGGCTGAAAACTATAAAACAATCAAATATCGCCCACTGCCTATCGTCGTCATCTGTGTGTCCAAAGACATTATTTTCTTCTCTTTCTCAAAACTTTATAGTTTTGCTTGAAAATTATGAGCCGTATGGAAAACATTTCGCTACCGTCATAAAAAAAGGAACATCAAACACATCATTAAGTCAGAACCGATATTGGAAGCAAAACTGTTTATTTATGTTTCCCTATATATAATCGTTCGACAAATCTATTTATAATCGCGATATTGGCTTTTTTTTTATTTTTGTGTGACAAACGACGCATGAGATTCAAATTATTTTTCTATAACGAGAAAGAATTTCCTACAATTTTTTTTTTTCGACTCGGTTAGATCTTATTTGAAGTTTGGCTTGGGATTTATTTTTATTTTGTCGGAATGGAGATTTTTATTATTGTGAATTATGAGAGTTTCTAGACATGGAGGCGTCTTCCTGTTTTTGATGGTTTGTGTTTATGTTGGAATTTCAAGGACGTTCTGTGAAATTTTGTAAATCTGATGACTTAAAGCTTGTGATTGTGGATATAGAAAATAATGTTATTGGAGTTTTGGTAGATTTGGAGAATCTAAAGACCAAGACAATAGTGTCAAGAAAGGAAACAGCAAAAATCCCACTCAATAAGCCTTAAGAATCATTTTAGAGCAGTCGTGGGCAACCTTTTTATGCCACGGCACACCTTGGTGTCAAGCTATGACCGAAACTGCACACGACACACGGTTCGTGAGATTTCTCCAATGTTTTAAAGACATAACGAAAAGAAGCCACAATTAGCCTTAAAAACAAACAGCCTTGCTGTACCCCGTTGATAAATCTAAAGCAAATTCGGGAATGATAAGGTTCGAACTCATACCAACTTATAAGATTAACTTTATCCATATAAGATCCAGATCATAATGAGGCAGTTAAGGACCTCGATGGAGAAATCGGCAAGGTATTTGACACAACTTTGGCTTGATAACTCGGAGGTCGTCGGTTCGAATCTTGTCATATACTAATTTGATTTTTCCGAGTTTCTTAAACTATGAATTGGATATAAATAGCCAGAACTCCTTAATTATTGAAGATTTATGACATATTATCTGAACATTCACTAAATTCCCAAGTCCATTGTTTTAATAAACTTCCTCCAAAACGATGTATTGTCTTCATTTACGGCAGGTGGAATGTCAATTGACATGGGCGTCTCGAGAAGTTGCAACCCCCATTTTTGAGCAGTTTCTAGCTACAACCCTTGTCAAAAATACTAAACTTGATCTGTTTTTAAATGTCATTCAGAATATATTGTGTCTACATCTCTTGCATCACAGTCTTTATTTTTATACAAACATTTAATTTCAAATAAATTCAGAAACAATTTAGATTAAAATACCCAAGAGAGTTAAAGACCTGGCAAAAATTCAAACAAAAAAAATCTCAACTTTTTAAATATTTTAACAAAAAATAAATGCTTTATCAATTCACAACTCAACATTGCGTAGACAATTAAAAATTGAAAATAAATTCAACAAAAAAACTTTTATACAAAATAACTAGAATAGCATTGGCGCCGTAATATAAAAAAGGATTTAAATAAAAGCAAGTAATTTATTGCAGAAAAAAAATCCTCATAAAAATAAACCAAAATGCGTCTAGATAATCTGCAAAAAAAATTTATCTCAAACTCATCTTTCTTCTTAAGCCGCGACAGAAAATAACATTCCTGCTTTCTTTTCTTGTCGTTAACTTTTTAAAAAAAGATCAAAAAATCTATTTTTCATTTTCTTTTATTTTTATATCTTTACAGCAAGGCTATTTTCGCACGTCGAAAGGATCATACTTTATTGAGCCGATTGAGGAATACGTTGACGAAAATAAAAATATTCTCCATCTGTTATACAGGCATCCGCCAGTGGATGGTAATGCTGAGAAATGCGATGTGACAAATTCACATGGTGAGTGCTCAAATCTTGAAATATATCATTTTTTTATTATTATGACTGCTATCACTTAAAGTTATTTCTTCTCTGCTTGTGATACCCACGAGGTGTATATCATCTGTATGACTCATTTCACAGACAATGTGACGATTGCCACACGTTTGAAAAATTTTACTCTCAATTTTTAAAAAAGATTTTTTTTCGGCTTTTTTCACATCGAGCCGTCGTCAATAATATTAAAAAGATTTTTTTTCCTCTTGGGAAGAAGAAAAGATTGAAAAAATTTGCAAACTCGCGAAAAAAAATGTAGAAAAATTTGTGGATGTCTTGTTGATTAGGCGCTTTTTTTGGAGAGTTTTGGTCTGAAAAGGAATCGAATTTGAATAATTTTATGGCTATGCTGTAGCAATTTTGGAACTAGATGTGGTTCACTGTCGTGGCTTGAACTCAATAATTGCTACAAGTTGAAATAGGAACCTTTTAAGGACAGAAACTCGAAAGCTTTGAGATCCCTTTGAAACATCAGCTCACAAACTCTAAGATTGAGATTGAGCCTTACTCAACCTTGAACTCCTAGAAACCTTCTCCATACCTACATGTCTGCATTAGACAAAATCACAACAAACTTTCATCTTTTCTCAATAAAACCATTCTAAAATAAAATCAACAACAAGAAGAAATCCCGAACAGACTTTTCAATCGGTCCACGCAAATATTTTATTCTTCTTCCTCTCATAAAGTTGTTGTTCTTTGTCGCATACAAGCACTTAAAAAAATTTCGATTCATTAAATTTGATGATTCAATAATATTTAGAACGGCAGTGAAGATGACAGCAGCATATGTGTCTCATTTGACATCATTCACGATCACGAGAATACATTTCTGGTTCTTATTTTTATCAAAGCACGAGAAGAAAATGAGGAACAGAATATAAAAGTATTTTTGAGCGAAAAATACGCGCCCATTCACACGACATGAGAAAAAGATATTTAATTGATTTTAATTTGTCCATAAAAAGCGAATGAATTCATTCATTTTGTGTTCCTTTAATGTATTGTGTTGAGGTTGAGATGTATTTAGGAGGGAGAAGGGCCAAGGTAGAGTGGGTCTGATAGGTGTCTAATCAAGGTCCCTAAAGACCCACCACATTTATACTCTTGAACGCTTCTTACCATCATTAAAAAATATTTGTGACCCTTCCTCCATTCCTGTCTACACCCCTGACATAACCAAATTGTGCATTGACAGAGCAACGCGCGCTTGACCGAACTAAACACGATTAGAATGAAAACAGAGCGTGTATTATAAAAATTGAAATAATCAAAACATGTCAGGGCATTAAAATGCTTTTTTGTATATGCTCAGTGTGAATGAATAAATGAATGAATGACCGAGTCAATAAATAAGACAAGATTTGATCAGCATTGCGATTGAGACATATGCACAGATTAAATTTTCAATTATTCATCGAGCTATGAAGAATTTTAGTTTTAAAGCTTTTGTATTGCAAATCAAGTTATTGTGTTAATATGACAGTACCTTGGAATTTGTTGCAGTTTCTTATTTCCTAATTTCCTGGCTAATTGTTATAGACTAATAAAAATTAGAGGACGTGAAGTGCACATCCGACAGAGATTTTTTTTTTTTTCGTTGGTAAATCTTGAAATGTTTATTTTTTGAATGTCAGTTACTGTTGTTTAGAGTTGATAACCTTTTGAATTTATTTTGGCATTCACTTGCTTGTGGATCAAAAGTGACATAATTTACACTTTGTTGATTGCTTTATGCTTAATTTGTCAATTATTTTGCATGTGAATTTTTCATTTAATGTTGTCTTGATTTATGAAGTGCTTTTGGTGAGTTATCAAGCTGTGTGAAGTTGTGAGGAAGGTTGATAAAGTTTAAGGAACTAAGAGGAAGTTATTGCAAGGTTTTGGAATCTGAATCGATTCTTTTGGGTTCAATTACAAAGAACAAATCTTACAATTTTGGGAATTAGGATTCAAACTTCGTACCTTACGATTTCTAGTGAAGATATCCATTATATTGTTGAAAGAAGATTTTAAAGAATCTGGCAATCAGCAGTTAAATCAATACTATTTTAATCCATACTTACCTACTTCCTTGGCTGGGGCGCACGTGGACCCATTGCCGCGCTTAGAGATCGTCTGAAGACAGCTCTATTCTTAGAAACCTTCTGCCAGTTCGGGATATTAAGGACTCTAGCGTCCTTTTCAACACATGTAATCCACGTGATCTTCGGTCTTCCTCGTGATCTTTTGCCATCCATAAAGTCTGATACTGTCACTTTTAGTACTGAGGCATCTTTCTTAATAGACCATCTTAATTTGACTATAAACCACAAACTTACTCCTTTAACAGCACCACTCAATGTCATCCTACAAAAGAATTACTTTCCCAATCCAAATTCAGACATTGAAAGCTTAATCTGCTTGAAACTATTTACATATCAATGAAAAATGTTTTCTTACTTTCTAAAGTACAATGCACTCGATAGTTTCACATTTTTCAATGTCTCGATTAAGTCGTTAATCCTCTTGTAATCTGTAGGGCGTTCCCTTAAAGATTTATCAGATTTTCGAAATATTTTTAGAGACTTTCTTAACCAAAAATGTTGTAGCCTAAACAAAGCTTCCAAATTTAAACAATTTTTTCAGTAATTAAGGAAGCAATCATTCAATGATGATGTCTATGATTTCAACCTTCTTACCTTTCAATCCTTAAGTCTCAGCTGACTCATATTGGAGTTGGGTCAAAAAATCCAAAATTGATAGACGTCATAAAGAAACAATCCCCAAGAAAATTTTCATTTTTTGAGCCAAGATGTTAGTTCTTAAAGACTAGTTCACGAGTAATTCTAGAAAAGCAGATCAAGTGTGTATATTTATAGAGATGCGAGATGAACACAAGAAGCGACAGCATCAATCATCAGCATCTATTCTTGCGTGTTTCATGTTTATGCAAATGAGACAGTCGCTGCTTTATAAAAACAATCAATAGCAAAGTAGTTTTTCATATTTTCGAAGAGAGAAAAAATTTAAATAAATAAATTGTGTGCGTGTAGATTCATATCATCATCATCAACGGCAATAAGTTGTTGCTGTCTTTTTTATTTTCGTGAGATCAAGATCATTAACATGCCATTGGAAGTCAAATAAGAGAAGAAACAATAAAAAAGAAGACAGGCATTAAGAAATATTTAATTTTATTGAAAATTAAATGCAAAAACCACACTCAACGAGACAATTAGTGTCGCAGGCGGAAGAATTTTCATCTTATACCTCATTATAGTGTCATTTTGCATCGTGATGCTGGGATTTTCTCTTTTTTTTCGTGAACGATTCTGTCCACACATCAAGTTTTGAGACACTTTTCAATTTCAATTCGAGATGAATAAAGAATTAATTCTATTAAATATTTCAAGGTCAGACTGCGCTGCAATTGATGAAAAATGAAAACTGATCTCAACTTTGATGACATTTGAATGAGTTTTAAATTTTAAATTAAGTATTGTAGCAACAACTTCCTTGTTGGCTGGTTTTTTGAGATTTGCTTGTCGGTTTGAACCCAAAACTTTCCCCTTCTCCCCTAGCTACGCTTCTGGTTCTATCAATATTCATTAACAATCACTATTATGGCTTTGAACAACGACTTCTGATGCTCATTTTTGGAAGTTTAAAATTTTGTATTGATTGCAAATAAGATTCGCTAAAATATTACATTTTAAATTGTTTTGATGAGAACCATGTCGGTGTTCTTTTGTGAACCTAATTAAAATTTGAATTTTAAATCCAAGACAAGAGAATCGACTCTATAGAATAGATTTTAAATTGTCTAAGAGCAGTTTCGTGTAATTTTTGGCTTAATATTCAATATTAACACCTTTTGAAGGAACTTTTACGTGATTTTATGTGCGAAGCGTTGTTTAGAGCTTGCTGATTTAATTAAACTTCAATTTATGGGTTAAAAAATTAGTTTGTTCACAAATTTTCATTGTTTAATGTCTGAGGATATAAAACTCAATCATCTAGGAATGAATTTGAATTTTAAATGTCAGTTATGATTTAATTTATATTGTTTCCAAGTTAAAACATCTAATTTAGAGCCTTAAGTGCTTTACACACGCGATCACATTAATTTGTAGCACTTAAACCATTAAAACACACGAAATTCTACCTCAAAGCTTCCTGAATTCTAAGAAGATCAATCGAAGCATTCAATCCCAAAAACTGCAATTACCGGTTCAAATAAGATCCTCACACGCGAGACTGTAATCAATTCTTAAGAAAAATAATATAAGAAACAAAACCATGAGTAGCCTTTAAAGGCTCACCACGAATTTCATGAATTATTGTGGTCAGTGTTGATTGGCAGACACGAAAGCGTCATAATATATATGTGACTAGCAATTAACATAACATTTAATCAACCTAGATTTATTTCTCTCTTCTCTTTACGCATTCTTCTCATATTTCTTTTATTTATGCTTCTCAATTTTTTTTTTTTCTAAAGCAAGTAGTTAAGTAAGTTGTAAATCAGGAAGCGTTTTGTAAATCAAGACATCATACACAATTGGCCTTTTTGTGAGATATGTGCAGTATGCCCGGGTGGACACAGCCAGTTAAAGTCCATTATTGGACAATCATTTAACAGTCTTTTAACTTGTCGAAATATATACGATATAGAGAACTATACGTTAACTAGACTTTAACTGGACATTCATGCTAATCAATCAAGTGTTCAAAACTCAAAAATAATTTTCCTTACTTTTTTGACCATATACTTCACAAGCGCTTACAGAAATCACTTATATAAGGTCCACCAAAATTTGTATGAAACTTTTAAGTAAATATAATTGTTTCACGCGCAAGTGTTCGAGACTCAATTTTTACTAGAGATTTTTCATAAGTGATAGTGTACTTTAATTAATTAATTACACTAATACAATAATAAAATTTTACAAAAGAAAAAAATATGGAGAAAAAGACACGTG